TTCATGTGTGGATGTTGGCCCCATGCCTTTTTAGCCACTGCTTGCCTGTTGTTATTTGTTTTGCCATTTCTATATTCACGGAGGATTGGCCTTGCTGTCCCACGCGAATAAGATTTCAAACGATGGCTACTTCCTGTATTTGTTGGACGTTGTCATGATGGCCGTTCAGTGGGATGCGCATTTGCAACTCATCCTGAACTCAGACCCCATCAGGGTGATGACAACGCGGGAGTTTTTGGTTTCCACTTGCGGTGAAGCGCAAGTTCCACCAGACTTTGCTACGAGCAAAGGCAAGGACTGTCAGGAATGGCATGTCATCTTGACCAGGAGCGACTATTCTCCAACCCAAGATATACTTGACATGAACCATTTCATTCCAGCGTGGCATGAATCCAGGCTGTCAGATTTCCAACAATTTGTGCAGAGAAAGAAAGCTGAAGCAATCAAACGGATGAGCCTCATACAGGAAGATGATTTTGATGCGACCATGAACGAAATGAATACCTGTCAGAATTGGTGCCGCTTACTGGATCGATTGGGTGCTCCTGGGTTGAAGTTTGCGGCGGCCGAAGTCCCAAAGGATGGAAATTGTGGTGTTTGGTCAATGCTGGCTTTGCTAGATGAACACCCCTTTATGTCCACCACCAGCGACCATGAGACCCACCGAAAAATGCAATGGATGCGCAGCACCTTGGCAGCTGCTTGGGTCCAGAGGTCCCACGAACCAATGTGGATTCAACTCTTCCAGCAGTGTATGTTTGATGAATGGACAGAATTTTGGAAGAAACAGACAGAACATGAGAAGCAAATCCAGATCAAAAGGGAGATCAAAGCGGAGAAGGAGGATCAAGAGGCCTGCCCGAAAACACCAGAGCGAAAGAAACCCAAGCTGGATGCGGATGTTCGTGATCGAGAAATGGAATCCTGTCCAGAGCCCAAGATGCCAGAGAAGCGCAAGCAACCAAAGCTGGACCCTGTCCACAGGTTGAGTGCCCACGCCGGCTTGGTCATCCCTCGGACAAAGGAGACCGCAGAATTTTCTGTCAAACTTGAGCCTACAAAGATTACAAAGACTAAGCCCACCGGTGCCAAGGTTGAGTCTACAGAGATTGTGCCCAAGGATCCCAAGGTCGAGCCCAAGGTCGAGCCGAAGGTCGAGCCGGAGGATCAGGATACTGGTATCAACCTCCTTGCTCAAGTTTTCGGTGGCCAGAATGAGGGAAAGAATAGGGGGAGTAGGGAGAACGTGAAGAGGAAGAGGACTGGCAACAGTGACAACACCATGAACGAGAGGCAGCTCAAAAAGGCCAGGCGCAATGCGATGAAGAGGTTGCTGGCTGACAAAGGTCTGGATTATGGTTTGTGGCAACAAGATCATTGGAAGGATGGTGCCATGAACAAATCTACTAGCTGCCCGGCCGGTGGTTTCAAGCAAATGAGAGAAGACTTGTGCGACGGCAAGCTTCCGACCAAATGCCGTTGCTGTGTGGCATATGTTGGAAAGTCTGGTCTGACAATCGACCAAATGCTCGCTCAAGTGGACAACTCTTTGCGGATGACAGCTGGCAGCGCCAATGTGGGTGAAGATGGGTCTCAACCCAGCTCCCAGAAAAGCCAGAAGATTACGACTGAGGATACTGAGGAAAAGTCAAAGGCTGAAGATGCCCAAGAGAATCAGAAGCCTGAAGCGAAGCAAGTCCAGGATGGTGATGATGGTGATGGCAGGGAGGAGGCTGCTGTTGAAGTTCAGAAAAGTGACGATGAACAAGGTGAACAAGTAGATGTCTTGGAATTGGTCCGCCAAGCTGGAGACATGTTCACACTTTTGCCTCCAGGTTCCTACAAAAAACGCCATCCAGTCAGATGCAATTTGTGCAAGACCAAGAAGAATGAGCAGAAAATCTTCGATCTTTGCACTCTCAATCGGAGAAAGTATTTCGATCAGCGCATAGATTCATCGAAGCATCGCAGTCTACTGCTTTGTTCTTCTTATGCCGGTGCTCGTGCGGATCATGAGAATCATGAGACTCATGCTGTTGATGAGCCAGAATCTCCAGGAAAGCCTTGCCCAGGCTTCAACTTCAAAGCATTCCCTGGAACCAGGATTGCAGCCCTGGCCGAAGATTTCCACACCTATGCAAGCTACTGCAATTTGACCTCAGCGAAGCATGTCAATGGGGATGGCCACATTTACAAATATGATGTCGGTGAGTGCGTCTACACCATATACCACAGAAACTGCGTAAAGGTTTCAAAGCATCCTCTCTACCCTGTCTGCAGGGCATGCAAGGAATTGGGAACAGACAAATCCTTGATCAAGAACATGTCCAGGTTTGTGGTCAAGATTTGGGCCGCAAGACTTTTGCGGGCCAAGATGTATCTCACCGAGTTGCCAGAAGAGGTGTCCGACCTCATGCTCAAGTCCAAGTTGGCTGAACTCTGTGCGAGTGTGAAGAAGGAGATGGAGATGTTGACGCGCTTGACAGTTTCAGACCTTCAGCGCTGGTTGAGAGCTTCTTTCCTGTGCGTGCCAGAGAGCAGAATGTCGGCCAACACTCGTATGCTTATGGCTAGCATGGTGGTCCCGAGTCTGCAGGTCAGTGCACACCATGTGACGCAGGATGGAAACAAGAAAGCTGAGATGTTGGCTGCATACTTGACTCAAGGCAAGCTCTCCGAGGTCAGCGATGTGGACATCAAGCTTGGCTGCTATGTAGCAAGTGGTCTTCTCTCAGCCCATCCGTTGTTACACGGTGTGCTTGTGACAGTGTGTGAAAAGCTGAAGCGGGAACAGAGGGGTGTATTTTCCATGCGCAATCTGTCCTTGAGTGATATGGAGAAAAGCCTGGTGGCCGATGCTGCTGTCTCACTTGCGATGGCCGGGGGCAACAGAGCTTTAATGAAGGAGTTTGCGATTCAGTTTGCTGCCCCTGCCAACCCTTTGGTAGATTTGCAGTTGAAGTCCATCCCGGATGCGTTCCTGGCCAATTGTGACATTTCTGTCCTGAAGCAAAATGAAGTTTTGGCAGAAAGGCTTTTCCCCAAGGCTGACCATGGTGGCTACAGGCGGCTCTCTTTTGCATTTGACAAAACCTATCTTCTCCGCCAGGTGAATGTCATCAAAAACCGTTTGGGCAAGGGTCTTGTGGGCGGGAAGTTCAGCGCTTTGAAGATGGATGCGATGACGGAGCATGGACAATCTTTCCTTGAAATAGATGTTCCAGGAGATCAAGGTGATCAAGAAGATGCGGCAAGCACTGAGCTGGCAAAGCATGACAATACCGACCAGACAGAAAAGAGCCGCATTGTCAAGTCCCGTGATGTGACAAACCTGGAGTATGCCCACGAGATGCTGGAGTGTATCGTGTGGGACCCGGCCAGCAAAGTCAAAGGCCTTCCTCGTATTGCGATTTGCTCTGTTCCAATGAGTTCCAACTGCAAATCTGCAGCGTGGAAGATTTCAGCCTAATTCTTTTTGATCTTTTTGTGGCTTCTGTAAGTTTTTTTGGACAGCGTGTTTCCTAGTTAGCTCATCGATTGTGAGGATGAGATGCTCTTGCTGCTAGGGCACATCCTGGATAATGCTGGCAGTGCTATTCGCTCCATTGTTTGTGACAACCACTCGAGTCACAAGCTCATCAAGCAAGCGCTTCTAGGCCAATATGCTGCACGCCCACATGTCCCTTTCTTCGGCTCTTTGGAGTACGAGTCCCTGCCTATGACATGCATCCCCAATTTGTCTTTCCGGGTGGCCTTGATTGACGGCGAGCCAATATATTTGCTTGGTGGACCAAACCATTTGCAAAAGAATTGCGCTAGTGCCATGAGAGCCTTGCCTGCTTGAGTGCTTGAGGTAATACGCACAAACAGTGTCAAACAACAATAAAATCAAGGGCCCCAAGACTAAACTAATCATTCTGGCCTGGAGGTTGGCCCCCCACAACAACAGCTGTTGAAATATGGTTGGTAAGGTTGGTACTTTAAACCATATTCCAATATATTCTAATTGTTCTAACAATTTGTTCTTAACAGCTGCACGTAGGAGACTAGATAGAATAAGGCCCCCAAGGCTTTAAACCAATCAGT